ACAAACCGCAGACGTTGATAAGGATTGATGTTGCACATTTGACTCAAATGATTTGTCGCTGGAAATGTTTCCAGACAGTACGACAAACATGTATTAAAGAGTTTTTTGTTCGGTATGTATCTCTTATGGTTGATTCACAATCAATTTCTGAATTTGAACAAATTTTCATTCTCACTTGCATAGTAGGGCTTCAATCCCACGAAGATTCGAAAATAGACGTCTGCGGAGTACAGACACCAAGAGAAGCAAGGAAGAAATTAGAAGAATTCATTGCTGATCGTAATATAAAGATAGATTTTCAGGATGTCAAGGAAAAATCTAATGGTGATGAATTTGACGTGAACAAACCTGAAGAATTTGATCCATGCCAATTAAAATCTAATTCAAACGAATTTTCCCAGGCGGATTCCCTATTGGCATGTGTAAGACAGCGAGTCAATTTGGAGTTTGTCAGGAGAATGGCTTTCGGAAAAGGAATCGTTTAAAACAGAGGAATAATGCGTATAGGAGCAATGTCGTATATTTTAGAACAGAACGCGATAAATCGTTAACGCACAATGTTAGTTAACACAAACACTTAAACGAACGCGTATAAATGGTCTGAGCAAATAATCGAACACACAAACTATCAAACGATAACTCGAGAAACGGAGGCAGCTAAGCAATAAGAGCTTTAACGCTGGAAACCGACGAGACGTCCGTACTGTAACGCGTATTCGTGCAAAAGACGCCCGGTCAGCCACAGGTTCATGCAACAGCCTGCGTTACTAGGGAAACGTACATTTGTTGTCTTACAAGACTCGTTGTTAGGGAAATGTTTATACATTGTTTATAACATGTTGTTAAGTTACTAATTACTAAGCATTCAAATTATGGCGCCCTATTATTATGCGCATGCGGGAGCGCTGCTAGCGCGACCGCTAGATAATCGATTGTAACGCCATCAACAGCCAATTTCTTACACATGGTTGCAACGACGAAAGGAACAGGCCACAATGGCCCTCTATGTTGGGAAAAATCTGAACCCATTTTATTTGCCAGATTTTATTGAACGACTTTTTAATTTAGCCAAAGAATTTCCTCTTTGGACCAGTGCGACAATTTCTTATAATACTCCACATGCTAGCTCAAGTTATGTGGAAGGATATTTTAATGATCTTAAAATAAGAGTTCTTAAAAATACACCACTGCCACTTCGTATCGATAAGTTTATAAAAATTCATATTCGCGATATACTTGGTCAAACATTACTTTTTTCGTCCAAAGTAATTACTTTCAACCAGAGAACTCATGCATTGAACGATATACAAATGAAAAATTTCATTACAACCAACACTACTAATTTGAAACAGAGTACTGGACGAAGTATTTCTGACTGTAACCAAAATCCATCAGTTAAAAGCAAAGTCGTTCTTAATATGAATGATTCAGATTTGATGGCACAAGAGAACTGGCGAGGAAAAGCATTAAATGAAGATATCGGCTATACTCTTTATTCGATTGATGAATTGATAGAAACTCAGGCATTGAACGATACACAAATAAAAAATTTCATTACAACCAATACTATTAATTTAAAACATACTACTGGACGAAGTACTCCTGACTGTAACCAAAATCCATCAGTTATTAAGAGCAAAGTCGTTCTTAATATGAATGATTCAGATTTGATAGCATAAGAGAACTGGCGAGAAAAATCATTAAATGAAGATATCGGCTATGCTGTTTCGATTGATGAATCGACAGAATCTTCCAAGGTGCCGATCTTAACGAGTATACAAATACACTACACCGAAAATAGTGGTATTCAATCCAGCATAGAATCATTATCCGATCATTCATATTGTAAAAATTCAGAATTGAATATACGGCAAGATTCCAGCACATTGCAACACACGATTGCAAATTCAATGAACCAAGTTGAATTCAATTTATGTGAAAAACCAGTACTTAAAATGGGTGAACGTGCTCCGACATTTTCAGAAATTCCACAAAGTTGCGATAATGATCTGAAAATAAAAAAAAAGAAAACCAAGTACTACGAACTATATCCAGAAGTCCGACAAAGAAATCTTCTTACCGCAAATACGAAAAAACCTTTTCTTCTATTGAATGGTGGGATTTGCAAATTACCATTGAAGATAGATGGAGTTAAAGTTTTTTTAAAATCCACATGTGCTTTTGATTCTCTTATACATATCATCATGACGGGTGCTTTGGATGATCCAAGATACGCACAAATCTTAGAAAAATCATCCAACGCTACATTGCAATTCACTTGGACCCTGATTAATACCGGACTCACAAAGGAGATTTATCTAAAAAGAGCAATGCTTTTGAACGATTTGAGATATCCTTGCATCCCTGAAGTACATACGACTAATCGGATACTATCGTATTCTATGAATGCCTTAGATAGTATCGCAAATGTTGTGAAAAGAACCCTTGATTCATATCCTAGTGTATATGTTACTGAAAATTGTTCTGGATGCACTGGTCGATATAACTCAATGCTGTATCTAAATCCGAATCATAAAAAAATTGAAAAGAAAGGTTTTGGGGCTTTGGAAGAAGCTTTAGATTTCCGGCCATATATCTACAATGTGCGATGCCAAAACCCTGCCGAAAATGGTCGATTAAAACCGATTAAAACATAATCCGTTTTAATCGGTTTTAATCGGGGATTGACTATGGTAAATTCCAATTTAATTGCTTTAAAACAGGTTTAATTATAACTTTATGAAATCGTATAATTTCGGATTGAGGTGGAGATATATCATCCAACATTAACCTCGCCTGAAGCGTACTAAATTCGATTTGACTATTTTCAATCGGTTTTAATACCGTATTTTCGGTGCAAAAATCCCGATCGATTCGGATTACATTTTTCTTAATCCGTTTTAAGCGACCATTTTCGGCAGAGAAATGCAAAGGGACAGTACTATTACAGAAGAAGTTAAATTTCCACATTCTTATTGATTTAGATATTCGTTCACATACACGCTTGGGCATCGCTAAGAACGGACTGGAATGTAAATTGACACAGTTACTGACAACCATCAGACTCCAAGTCGAGGAAGAATCATGGGTTACATACAGGTTCGTTTTTAGTTCGTTTTTAGTTTCTATTAAAATATATTTCATTATAAAATTATAAAAGTTATTCGAATTACATATTTTTAATTATTGATTTAATCGAGTAATATGATACTCTTTTATGAACGACTGTAAAGAATAACACATATACATTCAGAATGCTAAACCAAATCAATATCAAAGTTGATAGTTCTTCTCTTATAAACAGTCCCCAGTTTGATGAAATGAAATGTATTTACTATTTATTGCTAATTGCCACAATTACTTTCCTAGATTAACTGGAGTGGTGACGTTCTCATCCAATCATTTCGTTGCGCACTGTCGTCGCTCAACAGGAAGGTGGGAACTTTTTAATGATTTGCATCCGCATATCACGAAAAGTAATTTAAATCAAAATATTGAGCCACATCTGGCAATGTACCTTCAACAATAAAAATATTTTTTTAAGATGAAAATTGAAGGAATATATTCGCGAATAAAATAAAAAAAGCGTTTTTTACCTTAAACCATGCATGAGACTGAAAGTTGTTATAAGTATCCTTCAGTACAAAAAAAAAATTGTTAACTTATTTAATGCTTATTTATCACACTACATATTTCAGCTTTTTCGTTTATGTGATATAATATCTGTAATATTATATCAATATACATAAAACATATCTAAAATTGATTAAAATAAGATTTTATCTTTACATGTTTTCATGTGCTTTGCCCTAATTCTATAATTGGAAACTTCACAATTTATTAAATTGACATTTTATCACGTCCAAAAACAGACAAAAACAGATACATATAGGCCGGTATTCATAGTCCGTTCTTATATTCAAGATCGTCTTAAGTACGATCTTAAGATACTATGCGGCCATTTCATTGGTTGAATGGGATCTTAAGACGACCCAAGACCACACTTAAGACGATCTTGGATATAAGAACGGACTATGAATACCGGCCATAGTATATAGATGTGTACATGGTGTAAGTAACAAGGTGTGCTACTGCGTAGCCATTTCTACTGACCAATAAGAGAGCGTGATTATCGGTTGCTATGGTGATTTTGCAAGATGGCGGAAACTTGGTGCTGCGCAGAATGTGACAATGTGACGAAAATTCGTCCGAGAAGATAGCACACCTTGTTACTTACACCATGGATGTGTATATGATACAAATATTGGAAATTATAATCACAAAATGCCACATGTTTTGTATATTTGTTTCCATAGCGATGTATATACCCAATTTCATATTTATATATAATGTTTCTCTAAAGTTGCGTTCAAAAATCAACTCATCAAAGTATCTGATACAAGAAATTTTTGCTCTTTTTGATTGGTCAATTAAACATAATTCTGAAACGAATAGATTTTTAAACTCATGTGTGAACGTAAAAAAAGATCGAAAAAATTAAACATATACATAGATAAATTAAATGTTAAGTCATATCAAAGACGAAAGTTGTTTCAATAAGAACACTATATATGTATATTACGTGATTTTATAGAATTATAACAATCATTGTCTCAATACACACACACACAAATATTATTTAATCATTTGATTATTTGATAAACATATATGATACAGAGAATTAAATATTATTACATCTAATTTTAAATTCCATTACATATTACAACATATGTATTTACACTTCTGTTAATGCATTCTGTTATTTAAAATATATGGCATTAATATAATATTACACATATACAATTTTATACTCTAATAATTTATTATTTTATACAGTATAGAAACATATTAGCAAAATATATAATTGTGCGTAACTTATATTCATAAGATTTCTAAGATAAAAATAATTTCTCCTACTCTGCATATACGAAAAAAGCTATATCGAATTTTTTATAATAAAATAAAACAATGTTACCACAAAAAAGTATAAAATATATGTACGTACAAATGTATTTTTATTATTATTATTTTTATATAAATTAATATATGTGACAAATAATTGGCAAATATCTAAAATAGAAAGTAATATCTTTACATTTACTCTATTATCTTTACATATTTGTATTGTTAATTATCATATAATACTGACAATGTTCATAAATATATTTGATCAATGACCATATCGACTATTATCGAGATTCAAAATCCATATATTATTTGTGTGACACACATTAGATTTATATCCATATATATTATATAATATGACATTCTTACAAATTACAACTAAAACTTATAGAGTATAAAAAAGATGTTAATATACTTATCACAGTTCAAGTTAAAATTTACTTTCATAGTTAATAAATAATGTATATGTATACATACATACATTTATATTACTAATATATATATGAAGCTTTATATTATAAAATTGTATATATGTATATACATATGTGTGTATGTGTGTTGATATACATGCATCTATGTGCATTGTATATATATGTAGATGAATGATAGACCATATGTGTCTGAATAATAACCTTAAAGCTATTTGAACACAGCCAAGTCACATTAATTATATGATGTCACACCTACGTACAAGATAATATATACGGATAGTTGTTTTACACTGGTGGTGATGGAGGTCTTGGCGCAAGAGTTTCCAATTCTGCAATGGAATTGACATATAGTGCTGGATGTACTTAGGTCGATTCCGATAGCAGTCCATTATAAGCTTCTCTCGCTCGATTGTTATCCTTGTCGGCTTCAACCACGTTATCATCATCATATTTATGAAAACAGATCAATAACATTGTTAATCTGTAATTTAAGAAATTATCATTACTTATTATAATTTATATACCGTGGTTTGTGTTATATCATTATTAGAATCCTCAAATACACTTATGTAGATATAAGATTAATTAAATATGTATAACAAATTTATCACCTGGAATATTGGAAACTGAGCGAAGCATGAAGATAGTCCTATAACCGCTAACATCAAACACGAAAACAGTGTGACGTATATCCAACTAATGCCCATCACGAGTAATGAAAATACACCAATTTGTATGTAGGTCAATACATGACAAAATAATATTAAAGCGCCGGCAGCTCCGCTCGTAATCGCCGCCATGAGAGTTGGGCCATCCATCTGTTGCAACGCTGCTTTTATCTTGTCTATTTTTCTCTCAGAAATACATGATTTATAACTCACAGCATAATGTAGACTGAAGTTTACAGCGAGACCTGTAATAAAGTGCATCTGCATGTATTCAATCAACTTCAAGAACATTTTACTTGGCAATTAGTAATAAACAGTAAATACATTTCATTTCATTGAATCGAACTAAGGACTGCTTATAAGAGAACTAGGGACTGCTTGTAAAAAAAGCTATCAACTTTGATGTTGATTTGGTTTAGCATTTTCAATGTATATGTGTTATTCTTTTCAGTGGTTCATAAAAGAGTATCATATTGCTCGATTAAATCAATAATTAAAAACATGTAATCCGAATAACTTTTATAATTTTATAATGAAATATATTTTAACAGAAACTAAAAATAAAAACTAACCTGTATGTAACCTATGATTCTTCCTCGACTTGGAGTCTGATGGTTGTCAATAACTGTGTCAATTTACATTCCAGTCTGTTCTTAGCAATGCCCAAGCGTATACATGGATGAATATCCAAATCAATAAAAATGTGGAAATTTAACTTCTTCTGTAATAGTAATGTCCCTTTGCACTTTTGACATTACACATTGTAGATATATGGCCGGAAATTTATTGCTTCTTCCAAAGTCCCAAAACCTTTCTTTTCAATTTTTTTATGATTCGGATCTAGATACAGCATTGAATAAGATTGACCAATTCATCCAGAACAATTTTCAGTGACATATACACTAGGATATGAATCAAGGGTTCTTTTCACAACATTTATGATACTGTCTAAGGCATTCATGGAAGACAATAGTATTCGATTGGTCGTATGTATTTCAGAAATGCAGGGATACCTCAAATGTTTCTAAAGCACTGCTCTCTTTAGATAAATCTCTTCTGCGAGTCCGGTATTAATCAGGGTCCAAGTGAATTGTAATGTAACGGATGATTTTACTAGATGATTTCTTAAGACTGCATCATTGGATATAAAGAAATGGACAATATTATCATCCTTCATGTATAATATGTTTCATGGAAGATATTTCGCATATCACAAGTAAAGTTCCGACTGACAACGTGTCGGGTTCGGATGTGTTTTTGCGTGCTGCGTATGTCCTTTGTCTGGACCTTTTTTTGGACTCCCTCCTCTCTTAGAGGAGTTTTGCTTATATTCTACAAACCCATAAGAAACAATGGTGTATGGGCGACTAATGCCCAACCAGCCATAAAAGAAAGAAGAAGAAGAAGAAGCATATCACAAGTTTTGACTCAAAGATGCAAATCATTATCATCGATGTGTTTTTCGCCATATCCATCGATTTTGTTACCACATATTTTGCTTTTGCATGATCCTTGTATTTTCAAACTATACAAGTTTTCATCCACTGTCAAATGTACATTCGCTCTCTTGAATACAAAGGCACAGAGAAATATGTTGTTGCCATAAAGCAATGCTTATGATGTCTGTCCATACACCTTTAGTTAAAATATATTTTTTTCGTCTCCCATACTGAACTGTAGCATTCGGCTTCATTGCATCCCATTCTTCTTCTGCCAGAATCAAATCAAATTCCAACAATGGTGCCAAACATGTATTGTTGTTGAAGTCCGCTGAGTCTGTTCCATCTGTTCCATCACTGATTGCAGAATCATTGACAGAATTTGAGTTATCAATGTATTCGGTATCACGAACACCCTTGCTTGTGCTATTACTAACAACGATTCCTAATTCGTCTCTTGCTTTAGTAACAATACCTCGTCGATCTTCTCGAACAGCTATGTAGACATCATGTGCAGTCCACTTGCCATTCAGTTCTATACTCATATCTATCCACACTTTCGACGAGTACGAAAGATCATTTGTGGTAAAGTGTGTAGCAAAATTTTTAAACACGTGGACAACATCTTCCACAGAAACCTTTGCCACACAACGCAATTCCTTTATCTCTTGGCACTGGTCTTGAATTATCTCTAAAATAGATTTCAACTTGTTGTTCAATTCGACATAATTGATATCACTGCTTGGTCGCCACGATGTTCTAATATCATCAATTGAAAGGGACATCGCTTTCAGTTCATCTTTCGTCTTTTGCCTTTGTAGATTATTCTCATCAAGAAATTCCTCCGATTGTTGCATCGCGTGTACATTTACATCTTTGAGCAAAACTATTGGAATATTAGACCAATCTTGTCGTTTGTTTTTGTTTCCGATTTATTATCAATTTCAGTTTCTTCATCTGGTTTAGTAAGAGACAAAATTTCTCTTACTTCTCTTGAATTACCCTTAGGCCGATATTACATTTGTCGTACGACAAACTTTTTAAGCATATTGATTGGCTGCAAAATAGAAACTTTCTTGAGTCTCTAGAAATTACCTAATCAATGCGCTTAAAAAGTTTGTCGTACGACAAATGTAATATCGGCCTTAACCTGATATTACATTCATACGATAAAATGTTTGTCGGACGTAACGATTGACTATCGAATAAACAATTTCTAGAATTCTAGAGTCTCTATTGAGATTCTCCGAATTCTCCATCTGATAGCCAATCGACAAACATTTTGTTTGAATGTAATATCAGCATTATGGCTCTTGCAGATAAGCGCGATGACGCGACGCGCGAATCCAATGAGAACTTTATTTTTTCCGAAAAGCAGAGCTCTCATTGGATATTGCGTCATCGCGCTGGCTGCGAGAGCCATTACACGACGAAGGTACGCGCAGGTGCAGGAACAGCGGACATGGTTTTATAATCATAGTAGCCTAATAATTAACTACCAAACGTTGTAATTAGACTACGAATCACTACCAAACGATTGTCTTTCAATTAAGACCAATTTGAACAAAATTGGTTGGTAAATAATATATTTGTTTGGCTAACTTTACAGCTTCCAGTTAGCCATTTCCACTACTTAACCACACATGGTTTTTTTTACTTTTTGGATAAATTATGGACCACCAAACGTTGTAAATAAAGGATTTGTGACCACCTAACGATTTTGCATCGAATAAGCCTTGATTTAATCGATTAGACTAAAAATTAAAAATGTCCGGCTAACTTTACACCAATATTTTAATTATTTAATTAAAAAAAAACGGTTGACCACCAAACGTTTTAATTAGGCTACCAATCATCACCAAACGAGCACCAAACGATTAGATAATTTTAATTATCAAAAAGTTAAAGTGGTCCGGCTAACTTTACAGAGCCCTATTTCCAGTGGAAACAGTACGTTAAATTCGATGCGCATTGAAACAGAATCGGATTGACGACTTCGGTGGAAACTAGATCACGGAGTGAAGTGCAAAGCTAGCTTAGCGGATGGAACTGACGATAATTTGTGCTGCTCCTCAAAAAAAAATTTTAGATGGACGCTGTCCGCAGGAAGCTTAGGAGCACTTTCTCTTTTATTAATTTTAGAAGTGGAAAGAAAGCATCATGAAACGCGACAAAAAAGACTGGACGAAAAAACAAGATCATGTCAACTTTATCACGTGATCTAGTCGTTAGTTCTCATTGGCTGCTTACAATATCTAACAGCAAAATACGCAGAGAAAATAGCATTCGTTCTATCACGTAAAACCGTCAGCGTTGCACGTAGTGCTACTCAGCAAACAACTTTTCTCGTTGCGTAGCCTGTACGGTGACTGGCAGCGCTCCTCGCAAGTAAAGCCCGTATCAGACTATGCATTGAGATTGAAATTTGACCAATCAGGACAAGGAAATTTTAGTTTCTTTTATCCTGATTGGTCAAATTTTAATCTTCAATACGTAGTCTGATACGGGCTTAAGGGCTATCGTGCTATGCATATGCAGCAATGCAGCTATGTCAATTTGTGTGCGATAGCTATTGTGTGCAATTTGTGTGCGATATGCTATGCATATGCAGCTATGCCGATTTGTGTGTGATAGGCTTAAAGGTCGGAGCACAGACTTTGGCATAAGCGCATAACCATAAACATAAGGAAATTGATTGGTCAATTTCCTTATGCATATGCTTATGGACCAATCAATTTCCTTATGCTTATGGTTATGCGCTTATGCAAAAGTCTGTGCTCCGGCCCTAAACTCGTATGAAAAATTGCATCGTGGGAAACGGACTTTAGTATAACTTCTTCAGTCTAATATTACTTGCAATTTTTTGATGATCTGCATTGACCTGTCATTTTCGTCGTAAACTGAGCTTTCATCGAAACCTGTTGCATTTGTATCGTACGTAAATATATATAAGTATATATACAAATTTAAGTTGTTAAGTTTTCTCTAGTCGGGATCAAAGAAATTCCATCTGATTTCATCTTACTATTCTTCGCTTTTGGTATTAACCCAGACAGCACAAGAAGGCCAAGAGACATCAGTACAAAACCATCTCTTCTTTCAACTTTGACAAAAAAATTCGAAAGCAAAGCAATTTGAAATATTGACATAAAAATGGCGATAACTTGAAAACAATGCATTTCCGGATCTATGTTCATACTAACTTTTTTTCTTATTTTTGGGTCCCCAATCATCTCCCGAGTGATTGAAACTTTTGAAACACCCTGCATATATATGTATATATACAGGGTGTCCAACAAGTAAGTGACCAAACGAAAGATGGAGGTAGATTTTGGGTCAAACTGAAAAGAAAAGTTCTGTACCTTTTTGCAATTTTTGTAATAATTATTGAGAAATTAATTAAAAAAGATCGGCCAATTGGCGCGCGAGTATTACTGCGCAGTGAGAAAAAACGGCCTGATATGGGCGGCATTGATATGTGGTTGCTAGGACGCGAGAATCCATCATTATGTACCGCTCGTACGTAACCCTTGTCATTTGTAGAGCGTTCCTCCCAAAACTTTGTCGCGCGACTTTGAGAATATATAAAGACATCCAAGAGAGATAAGAAAAAAAGATTTGTGCATTTATTGTGAATTTACACAATTACGAGTATTTTCTCGTCTCTGTTGGATGTCTTTATATATTCTTAAAATTTATCTATTAAATTTAAAGCATTCTCGTCTCTTTTGGATGTCTTTATATATTTTCAAAGTTTATCTATTATATTTGAAACATTTTGCATATTAAAAAATTATTATCAAATTCTTGGTTTTATATAGAAATGGTAACTATTAAACAATTTTCTGTTATCTAATTAACATCGCTATTTTATAAATAATTTACAAGTTTAAGAAATAGAAAATGATTAAATAATTTTACTCAAAAGTTAAAATTTTATTTATATAAATATTAGACTCTATTTTACATCTTAAATAGACAATAAACGGATAATTTTTACTTTTTCGGATATTTATTTGTCTGATTTCTGAACAATTAGTTCAATATCTGAATTCTCTGTGTTGGGATCGTATCAGACAAATTAAACTTATAAAAATAATTATTATATCTTTAATCCTACTAGCCGCTCTTTACAAGCTTTATATAACTATCGTGTGTGTGTGATTAAAACTTAAATGCGGGATAGATAGCGCAACGTGCGCATAGCGGTAAACGAACGAACTAGCGATTATCGAAAACTGTTTCTTGGAATGTTTTTGGAATATTGCTGTAACATTCTCATGAAATATTACAATTACATGTTCCAATAATGTCTCAACAATATTACATTGCAACTTGCAAGATTGTAACATTGCTGCAATGTAATTGCAATGTTCTGTGCTGTATGGGAACTGTTGTCATTTATAGAGCGCTTCTCCCAAAACTTTGTCGCACGCCTTTTGGGTTGTCTCTTCTTGCTGCGCGTTTATACTTGCGCGAATTGATCGATCTTTTTTAATTAATTTCTCAATAATTATTACAAAAATCGCAAAATTATACAGAGGACTTTTCTTTTCAATTTGATCCAAATCTACCTCCACCTTTCGTTTGGTCACTTACTTGTCGGACACCCTATGTGTATATATATATACAGGGTGTATCAGACCACCCGTGCTAGCCGAATATCTCAAAAACCAAAAACGGCAGACAAAAATATTTCAGACAAAAGTTGTAGGGTTTCAAGTAACGCATTACATAGTAATATTAGTACGACCTTGAATAGCGTTGTTAAGGTCATATGAAGGTCATCATAAATTTCTTAAATGGAACCCTCTATTTTTTATTACATATTTTTATAGTTTATCTCGAGAGCTTTTCAAAACACTATAATAAAGTATGTTTTCATTAAATACTTTTTGAGTTATTTCATATTTTAATCTGACATATTTTGATATAAAAAATAAAATACTTTTTGAGTTATTTTATATTTTAATCTGACATATTTTGATATAAAAGATAAAATATCTCGTAAAATATTTAGTTTTCGATAATCTTACCATGATACTTTTATGTACAGAATAATGAGACAAATCAATTAGTATAAAAAAATAATTGTTTTTAAGAAAATTATTTACAATGTATTTTTTTAAAGAATTTACAACTTTTGCATGAAACATTTTTCACGAAAATGCGTTGTTTCCTCAAAAAACTGCTGATACGGGCGCTCTGTTACACCCTGTATATGCATATACATATATACAGCATATATATGCAATATACAGGGTGTCCCATTTTAAATGCCGCAGCCAAATATCTCAAAAAATATGAGATATGAAAAAAATGTTTCAGACAAAAGTTGCATGGTTTGAAGGGGGTCACATGATGAAAATATGGACTTGACCTTAAGTGACCTTTTCAAAACCAGATTAATGTGATCGATGTTTTCTTAAATGAAACTCTTCATTTTTTATTGCATATTCTTATCTCGAGAGCTTTTCAAAATACTATAACAAAATATTTTTTTATTAAGTATTTTTTGAGTTATTTTATATCTTAATTTGACATATTTTGATATAAAAAATGAAATATCTCGTAAAATATTTAGTTATCGATAATCTTACCATAATACTTTTATGTACAGAATAATGAGACAAATCAATTGGTATAAAAAAAATGTTTTTAAAAAAGAATGTAATTATTTACAATGTATTTTTTAAAACAATTATTTGTTTTTTTTACACTAATTGATTTGTCTCATTATTTTGTACATAAAAGCATTACGATAAGATTATCGAAAACTAAATGTTTTACGATATTTTAATTTTTATATCAAAATGTCAGATTAAAATATAAAATAACTCGAAAAAATAGTTAATGAAAAATACTTTATTATAATGTTTTGAAAAGCTCTCGAGATAAGCTACAAGAATATGCAATGAAAAATGGAGAATTCCGTTTAAGAAAACATCGATCACATTGACCTTGTCTTGAAAAGGTCACTCAAGGTCAAGTCCATATTTTTATCATGTGGCCTCCTTCAAACCATTTTTCCGTATCTTCCATATTATTCGAGATATTTGCCTGCGGCATTTAAAATAGGACACCCTATATATACACACACACATTTAACACAATAATTATATTAAAAACTTAAAGTCAGAAAGAATAAAAATGTATCTTATTTTTACTTTCGTTTTTCTTTCTCTAGAAAAACTATTTAGTTTTTTGCTCAAATATGACTTTAAAATTATATTATGATTTACTCTCACAACCGTCGAGAGCACTATACATATTTCTTAAAATATGTGATATACCTTTTGAGCAGAAGATTGTAAACTTAAAAAATCTCGAGCAATATACTTCAGAGTTTGAACAAATTAATCCATTCAAGAAAGTCCCTGTTATAGAGCATAATGGTTTCAAACTTACTGAAAGGTATTATTTTTTTTCTAAAAAATAATAAATATGAAATATAAAAATAATAAATATTTTTGTTTTAATTGTTTTAATTATCTTGACACTGTTCTTTATAGTGTAGGGATTACACGATACATATGTAGAGAATTTAAGGTAGATGATCACTGGTATCCATCTGATTCAAAACATCAAGCAAAAGTTGATGAATATCTCGAATGGCAACATCTCAATACAAGACTTCATTGTGCATCTTATTTCTTAATGAAGGTAATGCATTACCCCTTTTACATACTTTCTTTATACAGGGTGTTCAAAAAAAGTGGTATCAAATTTTAGAAGTATGTAGTACTCGTAAAAACGAATCAAAAAGTCTTAATAAATAGTACTCCAAAAATCATTTATTTCCGAGTAAATAAAACATATTCTGTTATTCTTACTCCAAAAATTTGGTACCACTTTCTGTATATCTGCTGCATAAAAATATATCTATAGATTCTTTTTGCTTTATTTTTTATATTCTAGTTTCTTAATCCACTTATGCAAAACAAATTAGCAAAGCCAGAAAAAGTAGCTGAATTTGAAAGTCGTATGAGTAATTGTCTTGACATTATCGAAAATGTATGGCTAAAAGATACGCAATTCTTAGTTGGAAACACAATCAGTGTGGCTGACATATTCTGTGCTTGTGAACTGGAGCAACCACGTAAGTTATATAAATTTTTGCTTCCCCAGGCATTATAAGACACTATATCTTGATCACAATTTTAATAACAAAATTTTTTGTAGGTATGGCCGGTTATGATCCGAAAATGGGGAGACCACATTTGACTGCTTGGATGAAAAAAGTTGTTGAAGCAACAAGTCCATATTATCAAGAAGCTCATAAGTTTTTAAATAAAATTGCTGAAGCCAAGCCAAGTCAAAGCTTCAATTTTAAGCTTTAATTTTAAAAACAGTAACACTTATATATCGTTTGTTTTAAAATACTTTGTTTATTGGATACTTTTATATTTTTTGAAAAAATATTAAGATTTATACGTGTTATATTATATGTATATGTATACATAATACATACAAGGGTGGATCGAAAAGCAACCTGTTTCAAAATAGCAGACAATGGTTTTAAATTCAAGTTTTATTTTATTTTTCTACATAATCCCCTCGAAGTTCAACGCACTGAGTTTAACATTTCTCCAGCATTCCAATACCCTCCCGGAAGTGATTTTCTTCGAGCTCTTCAAAGTACTCGTTTACGGCCTCCTGTCTATTGTTTTGATTTTTGTTTCTGGTGTGTAAAGGTGGATCCAACTCTCATCCATAGTCACAAATCGCCGCATGAAATCCACCGGATTTTTCTTAAACAGTTCCAGACATTGTTATAATGATTGAACTCGAATTTGCTCTAGAGTGAGGAAACGCGGCACTCATCTTGCGGAGAGTTTTTCATATCCACCCAGCAAACACAAATACATAATTAGGTATAACAACTGTTACATTACATGTTACTCCCATGTTACATAGCAGTTATATTCTGGTGTTATATTGCTTAAATAAGAGATAGTTATATAATCCCAATATAAATTAGGTATAACAACCGTTACATTACATGTTATTCCCATGTTATATAGCAGTTATATTCTGTGTTTGCTGGGCCAATTCTTTGTGTAAAATATGAAATGCCCGATCACTTGAGATGCCTATGGCTTTTGCAATTTCACGCAATTTTAATCGACGTTCATTCAAAACCATGTCCAGGATTTCATTGATGTTTTCTTGAGTTACTACTGTTTTTGGACGTCCTGAACATCTTCGATGCTCGTTCTGAATTGCCACGTTTGAATTTATTCACCCAAAATCGAATAGTTTCGTAGGAAGGACAAGATTCACTCAATGTAGGAAGCATTCTTTCATGGGTCTCCTTAGCTGTTTTTCCTTCCAAAAAGAGAACTAAATCACGGCTCGTATTCCAACTTTATCCATTTTGTACTTTCTCTCAAGACGCTTATGTTCAAATAACTCGAACGAATAATATTTAGCAAACTTCACATGCGTTCTTAAGAAGGATGGAACTATACAATTACATATATATTTGTCGCTTTCTCACATATTAACGAATACACGAACCAAAAGTTTTCGATTTACACTCGTACATACATACATACATACATACCCAGATAGCCAAGTCTGTTCGAACAGATTTTGCCAAACGTCTGCTACAAATTTTTGTCAGCAGAAAGATTCCAGATTGTATACAAAGTCTGTTATATCAAATAATAATAGCAGAATGTCAGCAGAAATGTTACAAAACGTGCTGACATAATTTGACAGCAGATCAGAGAAATTGATAATGATTAAATAATTTAATTCATAAAAGTTAAAATTTTATTTATATAGATATTAAACTCTATTTTACAACTTAAATTAACAATAAACGGATAATTTTAACTTTTTCGGACATTTATTTGTCCGATTTCTGAACAATCAGTTCAATATCTGAATTCTCTGTGTTGGGATCGTATCAGACACAAATTAAACTTATAAAAATAGTTATTATATCTTTAATCCTACTAGCCGCTCTTTGCAAGCTTTATATAACTATCGTGTGTGTGTGATTAAAACTTAAATGCGGGATAGATAGCGCAACGTGCGCATAGCGGTAAACGAACGAACTAGCGATTATCGAAAACTGTTTCTTGGAATGTTTTTGGAATATTGCTGTAACATTCTCATGAAATATTACAATTACATGTTCCAATAATGTCTCAACAATATTACATTGCAACTTGCAAGATTGTAACATTGCTGCAATGTAATTGCAATGTTCTGTGCTGTATGGGAACTGTTGTCATTTATAGAGCGCTTCTCCCAAAACTTTGTCGCACGCCTTTTGGGTTGTCTCTTCTTGCTGCGCGTTTATACTTGCGCGAATTGGTCGATCTTTTTTAATTAATTTCTCAATAATTATTACAAAAATCGCAAAATTATACAGAGGACTTTTCTTTTCAATTTGATCCAAATCTACCTCCACCTTTCGTTTGGTCACTTACTTGTCGGACACCCTATGTGTATATATATATACAGGGTGTATCAGACCACCCGTGCTAGCCGAATATCTCAAAAACCAAAAACGGCAGACAAAAATATTTCAGACAAAAGTTGTAGGGTTTCAAGTAACGCATTACATAGTAATATTAGTACGACCTTGAATAGCGTTGTTAAGGTCATATGAAGGTCATCATAAATTTCTTAAATGGAACCCTCTATTTTTTATTACATATTTTTATAGTTTATCTCGAGAGCTTTTCAAAACACTATAATAAAGTATGTTTTCATTAAATACTTTTTGAGTTATTTCATATTTTAATCTGACATATTTTGATATAAAAAATAAAATATCTCGTAAAATATTTAGTTTTCGATAATCTTACCATGATACTTTTATGTACAGAATAATGAGACAAATCAATTAGT